AGGACGCAATCATTGATTTAGATCTGTCCTTTAAAATAAATATGCATCAAACTACTTAGATTTGACATCTATGCTTAATCTACGTCGAAATATATAAATTGTTTCAATCTATATCAAATCAATACAAAAAGATAAAAAGCGTGATACTACACTTCATTACGGAGTTTTATTCTATGTCGAACTTTTCCTTCTAATCCTTAGTACACTCGAATTTTGATTCCTAACACACACACACATACACACACATATTCTTGTTTATTCCCTTTCTTTCCTTGTAACTCTCAAATCTCAGTATATATCCTTATAATTTTGCTAAAAACTTACTGTAGCATCGTTGCCACCTGCACGTGCGGCGCTACCACTGCCCATGTGCGACCTAGCCGCCATGGCACTGCCTTTGCCTGCGTGCAGTTGTTGCGACAGTTCTTGCCCACGCACAGCTGCTATAGGGCTGCTTTTGCCCGCATGTGGTCGCTGAGACGATTCCTTCAGGTGCGTGGCCGTCGCTTGGGTGCGATTGCCCGAGCATGTGGCTACTGCCTACGCGGTTGCCGTCGTCTGCGCATGGCTAGCCAGAGTTGCTGCCAGCACACGACTGTCGCCTAGGCGCGACTACTACCTGTGCGACTATCGTCACCTGTGCATGGTTGGCTGCGGTTGCTGGTAGCGCACAATCGCCACATGGACACAGGTGCTGCCTGTGGGCCGCAAGGGTGCTCGATGCCCGCGTACTCTCACGAACGGTTGTCGCGCACCCGCAACAACTCCGTTCAACGAACCGTTTGTCACTCTCATCTACATGTACAACTAATTGACAACATGTTTTGACTTGGTTTTAAGTCCTTTTGATTGTAAAAATGTAAGTTCGAACAAGTTATAGCGCTATATTGTGACCGTTCATCGAACCAAGCAAAACAGCTCCGTTTTCACGTGCCATGGGCTGTTTTCTGCAGCCTACTGCTGCACACAAAACATCAGCCATCTTAGCACCTTGGAACCACCCGAGTGGCACTATGGGGGATGGGGCTTCGGTATAGTGTAGGGCATTGAATAATCTTTTGCAAGTTCGCATGTTACCTTGACGAGAACTTGTTGTCGCCCCCGACACCCGGTGAGCAATTGTTTGTGAACTTGCAGTTGTTCGTTCAACTCTCTAAAGTCCTTATTTTCCTCCTCTCCCTCTTTTCTCTTGTGCATGCAAGGTACTTACTGAATTGCTTGTAAAGCTTCCCCTTTTCGCGAGACGTCGGGACTTGTCCGTCACTCGTTCTTTGAACTAATCAACTTTCTCTTTTACAGGTCCTTTGGGACCTGCAAGAGGTTGCAAGTGGGTTGATATTTGCGGATGCAAATCGCAAGGGCGAAGCACGACTTAGGCAACGCAAGCTAAGTTCATATCTTTGCTACAAGGGTGCCTCACTATTTAGACAATTCCAGCTAAGTCCGTGACATTACGTGTGCCACCTGTTGGGCTACGATACGCACGCTACCCAACGCAACTTCTGTCACCAGTAGATTCGTTGGTTGTACGCAGCAAGGTCGGCGACGACCATTGCTGCTTCACGATCATTGGAGAATTGAGATCATTCATATATCGTAAATAAAAAATAATAGATCTAATGTATTTGATCTCAAGAACTTAGGCTCCAATACTAATTGTTTGTATAAAATCTATAATATGCTATATTAAATACGAAAACAATCTTTTACGCTGGGATTGAAATCAAATAATTAGATATAGTTTTATGATACATACCTTTTGATGCCATTTGAAAAGGAGTTCTCTATTTTTATCTGCAAGGGCATCATCTTTAGATCTAAGATCGCTGTCAATCTGCAAGAGAACTAGATCCTTCTACTCTCTTTATATCCTTTCAGGACCACTTAGATTGATGGTTAGGGAAAAGAGTTGAGAGAGAAATTGTAATCCCTCAACTAAGATGAGTAACCTCTCTTATTCTTGAGGTCCTCTCTATTTATAGGAAGATAACGGTCTAAAATAAATAATTAAAAGAGTTTTTTGATTATATCATAAGTAATCATACTTTAAGGAATCATAATTAAAAGAGAAACGATCTATTGATCAATATATATCATCTATCTTATCTAATTATAAACGAATACAAAATCTAAACGCTCAATTACACTCGAATTCCAATTCCGATTCCGACTCCTAACACAACTCTCTCTCTCATATCACTCGAATTCCAATTCCGATTCCTAACACACCTCTCTCTCTCTCTCTATATATATATCATCGCCATATATCGTCGATTACCCCACTTTCTTTCCTCGTAACTCTCTCTCTCCTCAGTAAACATGGAATCCCCTGAAGCTAGTTCGATCTCCCTCCCGGACCAACAGTCGATGTTTCCTTGGGACTCTTCTACGGAGGAGAGGGAGAAGATAACGAATCTGGCCGATCGTGAGCCCCGACGACGACGATCACCTCTCCGTCGCCCATCCCTTCATAGTCATGGCGCCACCGCCGAGGCCCGCCGTCGCTTCCATGGCCGCGACGTGTCGTCGTCACCTGCTATCCCCGAGGATAGCCCGTCGACGTACTATGAATGGCTCCCGGAGGAGAGCCACCTCGTCGTGCGGATGGCCGCCATGCATGTCGGGGGCCACGATGGTGGCGCTCCGGCGCGTACGCGTACGCTTCAGAACGGACACGGCGACGCCGGAGTGCAGCGGCGGTTCGGCCGCTCCTATACTCCGCTCTTCTTGGCGCCTGGTGCCGTGCAGAGGACGACTGCTCTGGAAGCAGAGCCAGATTGGTCTGGATCGATGCGCAATGATGAAGATGATGCTTTGAGTCGGTTGCGGCTCGCGCTCGCGCCCGCGCCCGCTCCGCGCTACTTGGAGCCTACTCGGTCTATCCCCACGGGAGGCGTTTACCCTTCGCAATATGTCGGCCAGAACAGGCGTGAATTTTGGATGTTGCCAAGTAGGTTGCAACGCACTGCTGTCGACGCGAATCACCTCTGCCTCCGGGAGCTTCATCGCTTGTCTATTCTGTCGTCAAGCTATGGAAGCTTGATGACTTCAGGCAAGTGCATTTACTGCATGGCGAAGGATAAGCGGGAATGCCAGAAATTGCTGCAGTTGGCTGATGCAGACGCGCCTCAGCTTGTGGACTTGTTATACCATGGGGTCATCGACCATGTCGACGAGCTCACGGTTCACCCTTACGGTAATAATCTCATGCTGAAGCTGCTCGAAGTCTGCAGCAAAGAACAAACGCAGCGAATAATCGTCGAGCTCGCAGCCGATCCAAATCGGTTTGTCAGAATCTCTCTGAATCCTCATGGGTATTGCTCTTATCATGATGTGCATTTTGGCTTCAGTCTCTCTTTGATCATGCCTTGCATCTCACTGAAGTTTTGGTTTCAGGACAAAGGCAGTACAAAGTTTAATTAAGATGCTCAGAACACCAAAAGAAATTTCACTGGTAATTTATTCACTTTACAGTGGGATTCTTGATCTTTTTCTGGATCCAAATGGCAACCGTGTGATCAATACTTTCTTAACATCCTTTCCACCTGAGTACAATCAGGTACTTGCCTTCTTTTCTTCTCTCTCTCTCTCTCTCTCTCTCTCTCTCTCACATGTTCCTTTTGATGAGAGGAGAAGGATCATATCCAGAAACTGAGTAGCTTTTGTTCTTTGGATAACAGTGAATGATAGGTTCTGAATGCACATCTTGTTCTGAATTGGATGCTCATACTAATAACTGAAGCAGAGACGCTTACCATAATCTAACAGCACAGAAATATACCTGCATATTTATCATAGTAATAGAAGGATTAAAATTAGCACATTGAGGCCTGCAAACATTGGGTTGATTGTGAATTGGAGAAGAAACTAGTGATCTCAGGAGACGTGAATTGAGTTGCTATGGAAATCTGTACAGAACACTTTGAAATTTATGTTTCATTATGGATTCCAAACTAGAGTTATATAAGTCTCTCTCTGAAAACCTTTACAACTCAAATCCGATCAATACAAAGCACTCTTCTGTGTGTAATGCTTGCATGGAGTTAATCAGTCGACCATTTTCTTTGTGGCAGATCTTTTTTGCTGCTGCTGCCGGGTACTGTTATCAACTGGCTACTCATCAACATGGATGTTGCATTTTGCAAAGCTGCATAAAGTACTCCACAGGAGAGCTTCGAGCAGAATTGCTCAAGCAAACAGCTGCTTATGGTCATCACCTTTCGATGGATGCTTATGGGTAATTTCTCGGCATCGGCCTTCCTTACTGTTCTACAAAATTCAAGTTTCACCGGTAACATACTTCTGTAGAGTAAATTCTGCTCTACCTAAGTAAATTTTGTTTAAGTAAATTATGCTCTATGAGACTACTGATATCATTGTCAAAGCTCTGTGTTGACTTTTGCATCATTGTGTTCGAGTTTTTTTTGATGTTTTTTTCACATGCAGAAATTTGGTTTTGTCTATGAGATTACTGATATCGTTGTCAAAGCTGTGTGTTGACTTTTGCATCATTGTGTTTGAGTAAATTTGGATGCTTTCTTCACATGTAGAAAATTGGTTTAGTCAAAAGTAAATCCTGCTCTATGAGATTACTGATGTCATTGTCAAAACTCTGTGTTGACTTTTGCATCATTGTGTTCGAGTAAATTTGGATGCTTTTTTCACATGTAGAAATTTGGTTTTGTTAAAGTAGATTCTGCTCTATGAGATTACTGATATCATTGCCAAAGCTCCGTGTTGACTTTGCATTATCGTATTGTCATACTAACAGTTGTTTCTCTCTGTCTCAGTAACTATGTGGTTCAGTGTCTCATAGATCTCAAAGATCCCTCGATAAATACAACTCTGGCATCACAGTTTCGAGGAAATTATGTAGAACTCTCAAGACACAAGTCTAGCAGTCATGTGGTGGAGAAATGCCTGAAGAAATTTGAAGAAGAACACCAGGCACAGATCATATATGAGTTGGCGTCGTCGCCCGAGTTTAAACAGCTACTGCAAGACCCATATGCAAATTATGTAATCAGATCCGCCCTCGAGCTTACAAAGGTCTCTATCAGAAGAAGAATTAATCTGTAAGTAGATGACGATTTTTGTTATGGTGAAGATTCTAACTCATGTTTCACTCCCTCCTCGTCCTCAGGGGCGTCTCCATGATGCACTGGTCGAGGCAATCCGGCCGCATGTAACCCTTCAATTCAATCCGTACTGCAAAAGGATCTTCTCGATGGTTCTGAACAAACATCGATGAAGACGTGTACTACGAACGCTTGGAAGCGGTGTTGTTATCATACCATGTAACTCATCGCTTGTCGCTATACCCGTCTGTGAAAGGAGATGATTGATTTCATGCAGCGTCGCGTTTTATCAGATCTTCTAAGTAGTATATGAGTCTGTAGAGTTGTAGGAGGAATAAGCAGTTTTCTGTAGTGTCTTAGATATTCCTGTGAAGTAGTTGTTTAGTGGTGTAATGTGGTTGTCGCCCCCCTCTCCTCGAGAATAATCGATCCTTATTATTGTGTGGACTACCATTTTCCTCTTGTGCTAAATTAATTTTGAGTTTCTTTCGATTATTAATCTTGTATGGAATGGTTGCAAACGTGTAAGCTGGTTTCGGATTCAATGCTGGCACAGACGTCAAATCATTGGGTGGTGTCCGGATGAATAGATATATATTATTAATCTTGCTAGCGGATGAACATGACAGAAGCAGATGTATTGAAGCGTTAATATGAGACAACGTGTAGGGAAACGCTGGTAGAGCTTGCATTCACCTGCTTCATATGTTCAGATCAGGGAAAGTAGTTCCCCCCTCCCGATAAGCTGGATCGCGATGCTTGCTACAGTTGTCTTCGAAGACGGTCAGATTCTTTCCCCCCGAATCACTGCATCCTTCTGTGCACGCAAGTAATTATTTGTGTACGATTTGCTCCCTCTGTATCCTCACATGCGATGGAAGACGAAAATATGCTTCGATCTCCCAGAATGAACCAATCCAAGTTATTTATATGTATTGTCTTGCAGTGACCGAGTGGAGGCACAAGGGAGGCAGGCGACATGTTTCTTCTCCTGCAACCTCTCGCTCTCCTCTTCCTCACCGTCCTGTTTCTGTACCCTTTATTTCGGCACGCCTATGGAGAGCCCAAGGGTTGTAAGCTTCCACCCGGCTCTTTTGGCTGGCTCCCACTGATCGGCAAGACCATGTCTTTCATCAATCCCCATTTGTCATGCACGACGGGTCAATTCCTGGAGGAGAACATCAAGCGGTGTGCATGCATCATCTTCCGTACCATGTGTACTTGTATACATTAGCTGTTTGTTCATCGTTGCTTTTTGAAGGTACGGGAAGATCTTCCGATCGCATCTATTCGGTCACCCCACCGTGGTATCATGCGACGTGGACTTCAATCACTTCATCATGCAGAACGAGGGAAGACTATTCGAGGCCAGTTATCCTGCGAGCATCCCAAAAGTTATTGGCGATTTCACGATGCTTGTTATGACCGGCGATGCGCACAAGCGCATTCGCGGGGTGGCTCTCGGCCTCTTCTCCTCCATGAAGACGCACGAGGCTGCCACTATTTCCGACATCGACAACATCGTCGTCCGGCTCATGGATTCTTGGAAGAACAAAAAGACCTTGGTCTTCTGCGATGAGACTCGCAAGGTTTTCAGCTTTCCTTACGAAAACATTTGCAAGAGAGGATAGAAATAAGCTGATGACGTTTCTTTGTGCTTCTGTCTCAGTTCACTTTCAGTGTGATAGTCAAGCATACCCTGAGCTTGAGCCCCGAAGACCCCGAGACCGTGCAGCTCCTCGATAACTACAAGACATTCATGAAAGGGTTTGTGTCAGCCCCAATAAACCTCCCCGGCACGGCCTTTGTCAAAGCTCGACGAGTAAGACATGTTATATATAGTATTCGGTGCTAGGAACATGAAACACGTTCATGGATACGATGTTTGAGATCGATTCTCCGTCGGCAGGCGAAGTTTCAGATTACAAAAATAGTGGGGGAAATCCGGGATCGACGACGGCGACAGAGGATTGCTGCAGGAGCGCCGGAGGTGGAAGGGACGAAAGATTTTCTCGACTTGCTGGAGTCCCATGGTGGCCTGGCGGAGGAAGAGATCTTTGGCCTCGTGATCGATCTTTTGATCGGAGGGTACGAGACCACCGCCATGCTCATCGCTATCATCGTCAAATTTGTAGGGAACGACCCGGAGATTCTGAGCGAGCTCAGGGTAAGTTTTCTTCTGTCGCACGACCCAGTCTGATTCAGACCTCAAGAGCGTGTGCATGCATCGGTGCTGCGTGATGACAGGCAGAGCATGCTGCAGCGAGGAAGAAGAAAGCAGGAGATGAGCCACTGAAATGGCAGGATTACAAGGACATGCGGCTCACTCAGTGCCTCATAAACGAAGCTTTGCGTCTGGGGAACGTGGTGAAGTTTGTTCACCGCAAAGCAATAAAGCCCGTCCGATACAAAGGTATAAATGTCTTCGTGATTTGTTCTACTTGTCGAATCACAACAACAATCACTGAACTTTGATTCTTCCTGCATGCGTTATGTCGTGATCAAGAGTTCGAGATTCCTGCTGGGTGGAAAGTTCTGCCGATACTTTCCGGTGTTCATCTGGACGGTTCTCTCCACAATGATCCTTTCCGGTTCGACCCACGGAGATGGCAGGTACGAAGCCATTCTCCTCTTTCCCACTCACCATGAATCATCAGACCATGATCTTTACTGCACCGTCGCATGGTCACGTAGAACGAGGAGGTGGAGATCGCAAGGAACTTTATGCCATTTGGTGGAGGGAAAAGGTTGTGCCCTGGATCTGATCTGGCATGGTTGGACACCTGCATTTTTCTGCATCATCTGCTCCTCAAGTACTCATGGAAGACGCAGGAGGAGGATGACTGGCCCATGTCCTTCCCGTTCCTCGACTTCAAGAAAGGACTTAAGATTGCCATACAACCTCTGAGCGATCCATGTCCTTCTCAGGAGCAGGCCACAGGTTGATGTATCCACTAGTTCTTCTGTAACATTAGTGGACTGACTGCTAATGTGAGATTTGGGTAATTTCAATATCATTAGATAATAAGGAGAACAATATGTTGTATTTCTCTCGCTTCCCTCCCAATGGGTCTTTGTATGGATGGTCGATATAAAATCTATAAGAAAGTTCTTAGAAATTAGGCCAAGATCTAACGACTTTGACTGGCAGGCAACGCGGTCGGGTTTGAGTCTAATCAGATTTATATCTTCTTTGAAATTTTGTATTATTTTAACCGATTTATCGAGCAATGATATTCTTAATATTATTTCATCTCTTAGGCCATGTTACGATCTTAAGAATCGGGCATTGGCTTATATGGGTCAAAGGTCACCCCGAGAACTCGGGAATGCAAAGTTGACCTTAGAAAAATTGGTCTTCCATAAGTACCCCCAAGAAACTGAAACATAGCACACAATAACAAGTGCCGTACACCGTGCCATTGCCATGCAAGTCATCGTGATCTGCGCGAAGAGGAATATAAGCATTCAAAACAACGAACATGTGATATTGCAGAGAAAGAAAACATGAAGCTGCAGAGAGAGACTAAGACATCATCATCATCATCGTAAACACACATAAACATAACATAGAGGACATATAAAATTTGGTTAAAATGATGGGGGCGTTTATTTATCCGAGGATAGTGTTTCTAACTCTCCAGTTTTCTACAGTAGTCCATCCCTCCTTCCGGTTTCCCGTCAAACCCTAGCGTCATACACGCCTCGTCGCACTCCTTGGAGCATTCCTGCTCGCTCACGATCCCCAGAGGAATGCACTTCTTCATGCACTCGCAGTAGCAGTTCTGGCTACCCTCGATCCTTGCGACGAAGGAAAGAAACAGCAACGCGCACATGAAGAGCGCCGTGGTCGCCTTTTGATAAGCCATTACTTCCCCTCCTCGATCCTCTCTTGTGTTCGTCTCCTCTCGAGGGTTAGGATAGGAGGAGGAGGAGGAGGAGGAGCGTGGGTGGGTGGAGGCTGAAACCTGTTGCTGACGGAGGAGGGAGGCAAGGATCCGGAGGACGAGCTCTAATGGAAATCGATATGGTTAAAATAGGAGCTTCTGCTCTGCTATATTAGCGTGTCGTTGCTGTCCCAAGGCAGTTGACAATGTCAAATTCCCTTCCTTGCCAACCATCTGTCTGTCTCATCACCGGCTTTTCATGTACGTATCTGTCACCTCTACATTTGCGTCTCACTCACCTTCTTTAGGAGTTATCCGCTAACGCCGGCAACCGTGTACGCTGAAGGCAGGGAGGGCAGTGTCACCCCTGACGGTATCTTTCTCAAGTGAACGCTCTTTGATGGTCCACACATCTGCAGAAAAGCATGGATCAGATGCTGATCGACGCCGTCGTCGTTCCAAAACATGTTTCAAGAATCACCGACCGTGTCGCGGGACGGTGGGATCACCGGGCGAATGGAGACGAAGAGGGGTTGCCAATATGAACGTCACGCTTTCACGCTCGTGAGTCACGTCTGCATCCTACGCGGCGCATGTCGGTCAACGGTCAAACGCCCAGAGCGGAGGGCACGTCCTCCATTTCACATGCCGCTTTGTGGTTTTGTTTACGCTTTGATTTTGTGCGTACGAGAAAGAATGTGCGACTTGTATCGCATATCTGATGATTCTCACATGTATAAACACTTAAATATTGAGAGACGACTTGATTCATGGATTGTACGCGTGGGAGGTTGACCGTCCGTATGACGAAGGGCATGACGAAGGGAAACATGAAACTATCACTGCTACACACACGTTGTTGCAAACCACGCATACGCTTCTTCACCGTCCAACCTCTCGTCATCTGATTACCGCAGCAAAGTTTGAATATTAGTTTCTATTTATATAACACAGTTTTTTGCGAAAAAGAGAACACGATTAGACTTGTTTGTGGTGTAATTAATAGATAGGATGAGCTATCAGAAAAGTAATCCATGGTCAACGGAAAGTTTCGCCGCATGTTGACTTATCAAAGGCCGAGCTTCTGAGAACGTGTAGTGGCATCCAGAGGCGATACATCTGAACCCTCCGACTGGAAACGGGTGGCGATTCACCGGTCGAACCGAAGAAATCCATGGTTGTCAACCCTTCCCGGATGTCTACGATACCGCGGTCAGGTTGATCGAAGCCTGTTCGTAGGGCTGCTACTCCGTACTGTGGGCATGTAGGAACCAGCACGGCTTGATCAAGACATGCGACACTATAAATTAAGCGTAGGAAGTCGTCGGAAATTGTGCAAAGCTAGCCATTCGCTAACCCTTCGTCCTCCTCTCCCACAAGCAAGCGTTGGTTTTCGTCTTCCTCGGATCCGTCAGGTATCCCTCTCTTGCGTCTGCTCTTGTTGTATGTTGCGTCTCCTGCAGGAGCTCTCCTTTCTGGAGTACTTTTGTGCCTTGTGTTTTGCAGTTTGGAAATGGTTTCTGTAATCTACTAGCAAAAAGAGATGCGATGAGTATGTTTGGGAGAAACCCTTTCAGTTGTTACATTCTTACTTTGATCCCTCGGGTGAGGTGGTCATGTTCCAGCTGCTTAGGCTCAGCATTCTTATGTATTGACGAGAGAGAGAGAAATGTGTTCTAGTTTGAAGTATCTACTCAGGTTAATCAACCAGTTCTTTAATGAGGTTTAATTAACACCAGTTAACCGGCGGCGTAGTCCTCAGCCGTCACAAGTGCACCCAATGCCGTGAAAAACCGATGATTAGGCAAATAAAATACTCTCAGTTCTTCTTTCTCTTTCTTTTGGATTATATGTAGCAAAGCTTCCTCCCAAGAGTCTGTTTATGTGGCATTACATTCCAATGACTTCAATTCGTCACGGAATGCCGGAACTCACCGTCATAGTTTGTGTACGTTCTTCTTGACAGGGCCATACTAGTGGAATCGTAACAATGGGTCTGTCCCTGTCCTTGCTTACGTGGGCTCGGATCGAATGCATGGGGAGCAAAATAATTGGTCTGGCAGAGACAAAAGATGCTTTACTCGGATCGATTAGCTTTGGCGAGAAAGACATCAACGTGAACTTGAGGTCACTTGGTTTCAGACGAAGCGATTCATGGAAAAGGATGGCGTCCGATGTACCCAACGGCACAGCCATGGAGAAGTCTTCAAGCTTCAAGAGCTCGGAACCGGAAGTGATCCAACACGACGCTGGATTTTCGAGGTGCCTTCCTGAGTTTTCCTCACCCAGGGCTTCGAGTGAGCTTGATGCAGCAGCTACCAAGCTGCAGAAGATGTACAGGAGTTACCGAACCAGAAGAAATCTAGCAGATTGCGCGGTTGTGGTCGAGGAGCTATGGTTAGTCTCCAATGGCACCATAATTCTTGGTTAATCTGTGTTCTACCTTTCTGCAACCTCTCTCTCTGATACTGTTACTCCCTCTACAGGTGGAAGGCATTAGACTTTGCATCGCTGGAGCATAGCTCGGTGTCGTTCTTCAAAGTCGAAAAGCCAGAGACAGCAGCTTCCCGATGGGCAAGGGCGCGAACCAGAGCAGCTAAGGTAATGAAGTGAGAGCATCCAATCCATCCGTGCATTGAACTTGAACCTCTACTGCTCGTTTTGCTCATCCAATCATGTTTTCAGGTCGGGAAGGGTTTGTCCAAAGATGAAAAGGCTCAGAAGCTGGCACTACAACACTGGCTGGAAGCTGTAAGAAATGAATCAACCTGTTCCAACAATATTCTTCTGCGTTAAATCTTACAGCCTAAGCATGTCCTCTGATGGGTAATTCTGCTGCGCAGATCGATCCACGACATCGGTATGGCCACAATTTGCACTTCTACTACGATATCTGGTTCAAGAGCGAGAGCAACCAGCCATTCTTTTACTGGTGAGCATGGAATGCATACATGCTTCTACTAGGAAGATTATTGCCTTCTGTTGATTGAACTCTCAGTGCTAACATCCTTTGCTTTCTTTCTTTTACTCATATTGAAGGCTGGATGTTGGTGATGGAAGGGAAATAAATCTTGACAAGTGCTCAAGAAACAAACTTCAAAATCAGTGCATCGAATACCTCGGACCTGTATGCACCACCTTCAACTCGTTCTTCTCCTCAAGTTGCTATATGCAATGCATGAGTTCACGATGATGACTAACAACAACAAGTGTTCTGTATGCAGAAAGAGAGGGAAACATATGAAGTCATCGTGGAGGATGGAAGGCTTGTCTACAAACAAAGTAAAATGCCTGTGGCCACCGCCGAAGGTTCCAAGTGGATATTTGTTCTCAGCACATCAAGAGTGTTATATGTGGGTCAGGTAAATGTCAGGCACCATAAACCAGCATTTGGAGCATCTACATGTATGTATTCTCGATGTGTCTGATATCATCTTATGTCCTACTATGGGCAGAAGAAGAAGGGGAAGTTCCAGCACTCGAGTTTCTTATCTGGGGGAGCAACGACATCCGCAGGAAGATTGGTGGCAGAAGAAGGGGTGCTAAAGGTAGGCAAGTTCTCTAATGGGGAAGAGAAGCTATCGACACCAGAATCTACATAGTAGATGACGTTAATTGGTGGAGGAACACATTCTAATTAAATCTTGTTTCCCCCTGTTCTGGTGTTCTTCAGGCCATATGGCCATACAGTGGTCATTACCTCCCAACAGAAGAAAACTTCAAGGAATTTATCGTCTTCCTTCGGCGCAACAACGTAGACCTCAGTAATGTCAAGGTAAATATATGATAAATTCTCACTCTTGGTTGAATTGTTTCTGTTCTCTGAAAACTCTCTTACAGCCTTTGCAACACTATAAAGAATGTTTTACGGACTTAATGACCGAAAAGAACAGAACATATGGTATCTTCCTCCTCCATGCATGCAAAGACTGTTGCCGTCTGTAACACGTACGATGTGTTTGATTCGCAGAGATGTTCCATCGACGACGACGATGAGCATCCGTCATTCAAGAGACGTGCCGATGAGATGGCAGTGGATTCCACTGCGGCTCGGGATGCAGCGGCGGTTGCGGAAGCTTTGCAGGAATCCAGCGAACAAGAAAGCAGCGGTACGGAGGAAACGATGGGCGGGGAGAAGGCGTCGGAGCTCGGGGAACGCTTGCCATGCAAGTGGACGAGTGCTGCGGGGGCTCGAATTGGGTGCGTCCGGGATTACCCGACTGACCTCCAATCGAAGGCACTGGAGCAGGTGAACCTCTCGCCGAGGGTTGCTGCGTCGCCCAGCGGCCACAGAGCCCCTGTGCCATCTCCTCGACCCAGCCCCAAGGTGAGGCTTTCGCCTCGGCTTCAGTACATGGGCATTCCGAGGCCCACCGTCTCCCTCACTCTACCCAACCACAGGAGGAGATGCTGACACTGCGGCACACGCAGCTTTGGTGCACAAAGCTTCGAGTGAGCTACCAATTTGCTTTTTCCTTTTCTACTATTTTATGGAGATTACTGTAAACAAATCTTAGTTTTTTTTCTTCACTCTCTCTCTCTCTGTCTCTATATTTTTTCGTTCCGCTTGGGATTCTGAAATCCCAAAAGGAATGTAAAGAAGGATATTCTTCCTGTACTTTTAGAGAGAGATGTAGATTATGGTCCTTTTTTTCGTCTCTTGCTGGTTAATGTAATATATACTGCCTGTAATTTGATGTTTACATCAATCTGATTAATTTACATTATGGAAGTTCAGAAGTGTAAGCACAGAGACCTTTTTAGTTGTATAAGCACAGCTCTCTTCAAGTTTGAGTTTGAGTTTAAGCTACTGGAAGAAGAGGCTACAAAGTATCAATCTTAAAATGACTTCAAACTTAATAATGATCGGACTAACCAACAAGGAAAACTCGATTAGAAATAGAAGCCAACAGCCCATTTAGCATAGTTCATCAAAGAGAGGACAACCATACAAAGCAACAGACAGTTTTCGGTGCCATGTCAATCTTCATATGAATTGATGGATCATCTTAATTTGATTGGCCAGGCACAGAAAACCCAGAGATCATTTCAATCCCCTTGTTAGAAAGAAAAGAGAAAGAAGAAATTGAACTTTGACTGTAATTCTGGACAGATCATAAAAGGATAAAAACAGAATCTAATCAATCTCATAAAATGATAAATCAAGAGATATCAAATCCCTATTATTTGATAGAAATCAGAAAAAAAAAATTATGCTGATCATATCATATCATATATGGTAACTTCTAACACTCCACTGGGTAAAATACATGAATAGAAGACCTCAAGCAGACGATCTGATTTAGATCTCAAAGGGTGATATTTTTAGTGTGCAAGCAAACATAAGAAATTCAAGAATAATAATGAAATAACAAGGACAGCCATGTGGTAACAGAGCATCCATGGCATGTACAACAGGAACAAGCCATGATGTTCCAACCAAATGCATGTATCCTAGACAAATCCACAAGAAGCTTCTTGGACGCTTGGACCCACCTTCTTGTCAGTGCCTTTCAGCTTTTGGGGCACCTCAAATCAGCAGTTCACATCCATAGAGGCACACACTAGCTTTTCATTTGCGACTCGAAACAAAGGGAAAGAAAAATACCAAGTTGTACTTTCATTTTAGTTAATGGATGTCTACAGAGGAACAAGGATGGAAGTCGCAGCAGGACTTGCAATTTCTATAACTGGTTCCTTTCCTCGCTATCAAAATTAAGGCCCTCGATGCCTTTGAGCGTGGACTCGTAATTCTTGATTGCAGATGGTTTCCTTCCAGATGAAGTATGCTTGTGCTCTGCAGGCGAATTTCTTTGAGCACTCGAAACCTTGTGGAAAGTCACTGGGCTGGCCTCAGCAGTACGAGTGCGAGATTGATCTGTGTCAGGGCCCACCATGTCTCGGCTACTAGAAACAGCAGCTCGCCTTGATGAACCGCTTGATCGTCCCATAAAGGTTGAACTGGAAAACTAATATGCACACATTCCAGATCAGGAATTACACAAAACATAATCAACCATATCTCGCAAAGCTATATCCATACATCTGTGATTCCATGCACCGAAAAGTTGATTCAATATTTTCAAGCTAAAATCATAAAGCTATACGCAACCCCAAATCAATTATATATCTGGAGTGATAATCTCCACTGTTGATCAAAGAGTTTAAATAAAAATTACAAGATAAAATAGCCTAAATGAGAATCATAGACACGTTCATCCATTATGATGAAAAATAGAAGACCAGCTAGTGGCAACATAACCACTAATTTTAAAGCTAGCAGACCACTAAAAAACCTTATGAACATTTAACAGTAATAAATTCATTTATTTTCCATGTACTACAATTTTAGATGAGAAACCCACCATTTCTATTTTTTAAAATATTTTATGCTATTGTCCTTTTAATTGATTATTTAGAGATCACAAACCCATCATGATTACTAAAATTTCATTCTATACATGTCTGGAAGAATAAAGGTATAATGAAGCCTTGTGAATATTTTTTTTTAACTAAAATAGAAACTTGTATGCTTAATACGACAGGTACAAAGTTAGCCCATAATATCTGGGTGTATTAACAACAAAATATCAGAGGGTCACTTCCCTCTTCAAAAACCCCAATACTTGGTGACCCTAGCATGACTAGTTAACCACTTTATCATAAAAAACATGTCTGACAGAGTGTTCAACAAAGTTTTTTAAGAAGCAGCAAACATTTTGAACTACTTTTAAAACATTCCATGGGATGTTGATTCTGTTATGCAACATATAAATAAGGATCTCTGAATCAGATTCAATATGAAGCCTTATGAATATTGATTCCATCAATATTGATGCTGAAAGTTAAACATAAAAGCCAGATTTGTAAACTCACCATAGCATCTTTACTGGCAGATGTATCATTCCCCACAGGGGCCTTCTGCTTTGACGAGCTGCTTGCATTTACAGGTGGCGGTGTAACTCGTCCCCGACGAGAAGGGTCCATAGCCAACCAACCACTTGCCCTTCCTTCCTCACCTGTGCAGTCTTATAAGTTTATCACTCCAAATTATGAAGATGGAATCAGTAAATCCTTTTGAACATGCTAGTATGTGTAATAGATTAAGAACATATGTGCTTTGCAGGTCATGCAATGCAAATATAACAACCAATAAAGAGTAGTAATGAGAATAAGATCCACAGAGGAAAAGGGGAGAGAGAGAGAGAATCACCTGACTGCCTATCATTGGCCACAGCAGGAGCCAAGCCAGAGCTTGGTCCTGCACTTGCACCCTAGGAGATAGTAGATTAGGTTATCCATTTATTAGGAAATAAAAATAAAACATATATAATATCTTCATTTGACTAACAATAGCACGTGCAGGAGCACCAGCTATCTGCGATTGCTGATACTTTAAAATGGTCCAATCAAATACATAATCAAACTGAAAACCTGAAGAAAACAGATAAATCAATGAGCAAAACATGCACTTTCATTAGTTGTCATTCTTTCATTAATTAACAGAAAACTAATCATGAATTTTACATAAAGAGAAGAAAAATATAAGAAGAAAAATAAACCTTCACGAATGAAAAGGTCACGGAACAATCTCTTCAGATATCCATAATCAGGCTTATCCTCAAATCGAAGTGAACGGCAATAATGGAAGTACGAAGCAAACTCTGAAGGATATCCCCTGCATAAAGCCTAAGGGTACAACAAAAATTTCTATTATAGAAACTGTAGGGAAAAGACATGAAAAGCTAAATTTAATAACATAAACAAGAGTTTACCTCAATTGATGTGGCAACTTTCTTTTCACTAATTTTTTCATACTTCTGCTTCTTGGTTCCTGCTTTTAGACCTTGCCAAGGAAGGCTGAAAAAGAATAAAGAACCTACAGTTAACAATTTGAGATACCAAATTAAAAACAAAAAGGGAGAAAGGTGGTTCTACTAAATTAACAAACCTTCCTCTTAGAAAGTACATAAGAACATATCCAAGAGATTCAAGATCGTCCCTCCTGCTTTGTTCTAAGCAGAAGTAAAACAAAAGTCAGAATCAAGAAAGAACAACAAAAGAATGGCATAAAAAGATACAGGAAATACAGGTTAGAATATTTAAGAAAAAAAAACTAATCAACTTATACAATCAGATCTGTAACAGCGTGAAAAAAAGATGATATGGGAAAAAACTATGCATACCTATGCCGAGATGTGTGTTCACACTCGCATATCTTGCTGTCCCAGTCAAATTTTTGTTCTCTCTGCAATAGATTACAAGAACATTAAAAATGATGGTAACTTCTTGCAACCTGCAAATGGCGCACAACGTTCCATATGATTTAAAAAGCCTCTAGCATTGTCATGCCAATTCAAACATACTGTTCAATGAAGGACTAGGATGGAAGTACTCATGAGTATATATGAGATGCAAACTTCAGAAAAATAGACACTTGTTTTACTTAACAGCAAACCACAAGATTTGGAAAAAGAATCAGCCGCAAGTGCCTAAATATGGAAGCATAATAAAAAGAATAGGAATATGAAAACACACCATGTAGGAGTGTATTCTCGAGAGCAAGATACTCATACTACTTCAAGAAACCATGAAGAGAATATCAACTATAAAAGGGGCTAATTGCAAGCGAAGACACAGTATCTGGCCCTTAATAATTTCCATCTGAAATCAGTAACAGAGAATTTGGATGTGAAAAAAAAAACCAACACTCGTTAGCATGTTGTATATGATGTGCCTAGAAACTACAAATTCAGTTCTAACTACGAATGTTAATTAATATAAAAGGATATTGTAAATAATACTGATTCACAAAAGTAAACTTATGCCAAGTAATATGAAAATTGATTTAAACAGACTGAAACTGGAAACAAAAAGCTAAACATCTTCAATCTTTATATATTTTGGCTACAGATTTATTTAAAAAGCGAAAAAGAAAAGTCATAAACCACAAAACTGCCTCCATATGCCTTCACCTTGAAAAACAACAGCACAGCTTATAGCAATTTTTGAAAGAGAAATTTCACAACAATTAGCTAACAAAAGATCCGTCAGTTTCAAACATCAGATACAACAGCAACAAGAGAAATACTTCTTCACATTGCTTAGTCGATTATATCTCACCTATATGGAATATGCTGATGTGTTGAAGTATCCCTATACTTCTTTGCCAGACCAAAATCAATTATGTAAACCTATATGGAAATGCAAAAGCAACTCGATGAAGCAAATTATGATCATAGTCATTAGCAGATAAGAAATTTACAAAAAACTAAATAAATTTAAGAGGCACACCTGATTAGCTCGTCTACCAAGACCCATAATAAAATTATCTGGTTTGATGTCCCGGTGCAGAAAGGACTTAGAATGCACAAATTCCACTCGATTAATCTGAAGTGAGAAATCTTGAAAGATCAGGTACAGCCATATAACTTGGCAATTCAGAACAACCTTATTATCAATTTTGTAAAAATACGAAACCCATGATTAGTGCAGTAAAGTAGAAAGTATGAACGCATTTGGTAAAAAAGGTTAAGCTAAGAGACGTTTCAAGAAAGCATGAAATTACTTGGTTGATGAAATGAAGGAAAATGAAAATCAATTGAACAAAAGAATATGGTGGCCATCCATAAAGAAAAGAAGCCTTCATACAAGAGAAAGGAAGTTAAAAGAAAGAACTAAGTATGGAAAGTAGATGCATGCTAAAAAGATATTAAATTGACAGATGCAAGGATAAATCCAACATGTTCTCAAAGTTGAAAAGTATCATGTCATTTCAGAGAGGAGACTGCAGCAATAGCATACCATCTGATCCGCAAGCATCAAAACAGTCTTCAGAGAGAGTTTACGGCTGCAAAAGTTGAATAAATCTTCAAGACTTGGTCCTAGTAAATCCATTACAAGGACATTATAATCACCCTCAACACCAAACCACCTCACATTAGGGATTCCAGCTGTCCCAAAAAAAAAGAAAAGGAAACAATAGTAAGAAATTGAAAAGTTTAACCTAACTGCCTGACAACAAAAGGGTTTAAAATTTTCATTACTTCCTCCTTGCAGGATCTTGTAGAGCTTTGATTCATATAGCAACTGCGGGTGCTTTGTCTTGACGTTTTCCTAACAAACAAGGACAGCACATAAAGACATGAAAAATTATCAAAGCCATTACAAGTACTTGATGCATCCAGAGGATAAAATGTTCAAAGCCTAACCTATAAATGACCACCTCATACACACTCATCAAAACAACTTCAAATTTCAACTCTCTCTTGAGAGACGCAAGACAACATAAAAGCACACACATTACACAAGTGATATCCAGAAAACTGTGACATACTTAGGAGAACAAAAAAAATACAAGAGAAAGTGATTGAAAAGTTCCAAGTGATAGTAAAAACATTATCAAAGGGAGTTTGTTCTTATCCCGGACCTAAGCAAGGACATCTACATGGAAAACTAAGATTGCCAAAGCAAACTGTGTGATCTTCAGACAGAATCAGTTCTTATGGATGCCGTGCATGTGAACGATTTATTAAAAAAAGAAGGTTTTGTTTAACATATCTAATTTGTCAGCTGACAAAGGATACCATTATATTGAATTTTAAAGAAAAAATCCGTACAAGTATTTTCAGCTAACATGATTCAAATTCAAGGGAGAAAAAGGAGACTCCAGGAATGTTCATAAAACTATGATATATATGTATATAAAGCTCAAAATAAGAATGCATTAAGCACAATATATAAGTGAAACGATAGTATCTAATCATCCAATCTAGCATGACAATCTAATCGAACATTATAATAAACGCAAATCCAAAACAACGAAAGCTATACTTACGAGCTTAATTGCAACTTCCTCGTTCGTTTGGATATTAGTACCTGCAAGCACGAGAAGAATCAGAAATCCCCAAAGAGGCAAACTTTAGGAGTTCCCGCAAAAAAAATCCACAGAAAGCAGCTCCAAAACAGACGCAATCCAAAGATAAAGCAACCACAGACCCAAATAGATCTCTCCAAAGGACCCGCTCCCGATCTTGCGACCGAGGCGGAACTTGTTCCCGACGCGAGGCTCCATCCGACCACCGCAATCACAAGCAGGAGACGCACCCAATTCAAGCTGTAGTCCTGGCAACAAAAATCACCCCCTCCACCGATCTCGCGAAGCCGCAAGGTCTCACCAAAGACAAGAAAATCCCACCAAATCGACGACCCGGGGAATGGAGATGAGACCGACGCCCATCAATCGGTGGCGGTAGGAATGAAACCCGACATCGATCGGCGCCTTGGGGTCTCCAAATTAGAGGAAGTGGCTCGATAAATTAGGGTTCCGGAGGAGGAAGAGGTGGGGAGGAGGGGAGGAGAAGGGGTCATGATCCTACGATGTCGTGTTCGCGCACGCTTTGATCCAAACGAAGCAGCGGTTGCGATAGCGGGCAACACAATCCGCCCCTCTCGCTCGCTCGCTCCCTCCCCCACGAAATAATAGCTTTGCTTAGCTGTGTCGGTTTTCCAACGTCGAGTTAAAAGGAGGGGTCCGCGGTTGTCGCCTTGGAATAGCTTCTTCCGCTGGGAGTCGATCGTGGTCGACGTGGAACTCAATTTTATCCTGATGCGGGACCCGCATGTATCAAATATATATATATATATATATATATATATATATATATATATATATATATATATATATCACCATTATGTATTTATCTCAATATGCTTCATGGCTATTAATGTGTATGTACAAGAATGACTCCTCCCGAATTGCTTATCACTGTTTACGTATAACATATAAAGAATCCGCTTCGACATTCTCTCAGACAGGTGATCGGCGACGCTGGAAATGGCGAATGGAAGCGGCGGTGGCGACGGCGACGCTAGGGATTTGGGACGAAGAAGGATGCAGTAAGAGCATTCTCCAGGAGTGGCAGCTCCGATCTCGAACTGTCTTTCGGACCGCCTTCGTCCCGTCCCAAAACCCTAACCCTGAAACCCTCGTCCTCGCCGCCTCCAGCGACGGTTCCATCGCCACCCTCTCAGGTAATCACCGCGCCCTTAGACTTTCTTCTTGGAATTGAAGGGTTTGTGGTCATGTCTTTGCTGAACTCTACCTTAATTTGCAGTGAGCTTATGCTCACTCGATGAGAGAAGACAAAAGTAAGGGCAGAAGGGAATGGAAAAGAGTAGAAGGAAAGATCAATATCGATTTCCTTCTTTGTTAATGCAAAAGTTCCTAGAACCTCTATTTGACCATGCAATATGGGTCTTGCCGGATGCCAATTGAGGGTATTAACATTGGATTTACATTTGGACATCTTTGTCTGTATCCGGCACATCTGCAAGTATCTAATCACCAGCGATATTGTGATGATGCTCATGATTTTCTATTTGACCGTTTTTGTGTTTTGTGGTTGGATAGTGTTTGGTAAAAACAAACATGAAATCATCTCAACATGCGAGGACAGGAAGTATCCAGCGACATTTCTTGCATTGATGGCATTGCCCTTTTCTAAAGCAGGTGGATAGATAGGGTCTTCAACCAAAAGTATCTTTTTTTTTTTTCTGCTGATAACATTGCTTTTTCTGAATCACAACAGTGTTGGCTCTTGATGAAATCGTTCTTTACTTTCTCAGTGTCAGGATTATATGTGGCCCTTTACTGGCGGAGCCATGTTGTATCATTTGGGACACAAGGGCTCTGCATCTGGTTAACACGGATCCCATATTGGTATAAACCTGAATGCAAAAATGAGATTGGTACACATGTTAGTTGTTTCATTTTTCTGATTGGTTTGCTTTGTTTGTTAAAAAGAGCATCACTTGGTTGGTTGTGTACGTTAATTTATCTTAAACCGTGAGATGCAATTTTACTTAGATGGTATACACCAACTGGTACTTATTGATTCGAGAATGAACCGAAAGCGGTCCACAAGTGGTCTTGTGCCACATAGGAACCACCAAAATGGGGCAGTCCACATGTGGGTAGGTTGTACATAGTGACCCTCCCCCAAGCCCCATCTTGGTAGGAGCCTATTGTATCTAACATCCATCCTTTACAAATACGATAAGTACTTGAAAGATTTATGTTTCATAGGTCATACATGTGTCTTAGAGTATGTTATGAAGTATCCAACAAGTGTCATACTTTGATGGGTATGCAATGAAAATTTTGGCGTGTCCGTGTTCATAGGTGTACCTTTGACCGACCACACACAAACTCTACATTGGATGGAGCCTCAAGTTCTGGGTTGCATTTTCAGTTTCTTTGAAAAGTGGTGCCAAAACAATTTTCTGGGTTGAAATTCAGAGAAACAATATATCAGGTTAAACTTAGCGCTATCTCAGAATGATTTTAAAGTATTTCAGGATGTTATAATTATCTTGTAAATAATTAATGCTGCTGGTGGATGTCAATGAGTTCCTTCTTTCTGGAATATTCTGCTTCAATATGTATCTCCCTTATGAATATACTAGTTTTGTTTGGATTCATTAATTCACACTAAAGTAGTATATGGCACGCATCTTGTTTTACTTCTGAACTGTGCTGCAATCTTTCCTTTTTAAATAACAAAAATCGTAGTCTTCTGTATTAGATTTCCCCTTTGAGGCTTGTGATACTGGTTCCAGGTTATCAGTTTGGAATCTGCTATCTTGTGAATGTGTTTGTAGTATAAACAGTCATGCACGGTGCAAGATTTACTGATTGATGATGACCAAGTAAGTTCATGCAACTATAGATATATGCTCAAACTGACACATCGTTCGCCTTTTACCCCATATCTATCATGAGACACCTGCCAAGAGAATGAATTCCCTATTGCTGTGTGCTTGCTTGACCACTGGTCCACCATCGAAGATTCTTGCTACCGCTTGGATTGCTGCTGACGCTGGTCTTCTCCTATCTGTGTGTCTGATCCGTTGATCTGCCTGAATATGCCACCACAATTGGGTGGTCTCATTGAGGTGGCACACAAAAGTCTCATCCGGAGAAATCCTGCATGCCATTCACAACATGAACCACGGTCTGCACACCACCAGGTTTTAGTAAAGTTCATTTGTTCATTTTTAACTGCTTCACAATTTGTTTACGGAAAGTTTCTTTTAAGTTTGTGGCATCAACACAATGCTTGCCATTGTGTTCTTCCGGCACCCTAAAAGATTTTACACCATCAGTTCAATGTCTGTCTATATGATTACATTTTTTGTAATTTTAACTGTTTATTATGGTAGTCTGTTGTCAAGCTTTGTCCAACTCTCATATATTATGTATCTTGACTATGTACTTTTAATTGGTTCCGTTTTGCTTTTTTGGCCCTATAACTATTTGGATCTGAGCCTGCGTTCACACATATCAGTTTCAATGGAGTTTCTCAACAAATGGAATTGGCTCCTCATTCGGCATTTTCTGTTTCCCTTTGCCCTCCTGGAGTATGTTTCTTTCTTTTCCATCTTTTAGCTGAAAAGAATTATTTAATAACATAACCCGTGATATAAGAAATTTTCTATTATTCACATTTTAAAATTATGCCTATATGGTATTCAGGTTACAGACATGGTGGCCATGGAGCGAGCAATGTCTATAAGGTATTCATTCAGGTTACAGACATCGGTGTGGCCATGGAGCTCCTCTGGGGGATGCCCTTACGCTTATCACAATATAGCTTGGATAAGTAAACATGACAAATGACACTTTCAGAATCCTATCCTCTGGTTGGTCATTTTACCAAAAGTCTAGACTTTTGGATTCCTTTGTGTGGAACCCAATCACATTGGCAACTTCTAATAAGATTGCCACCATTTGGACAGAGTTGGAGACTTGGGAACAAAGAGCATATCAACGTAAGGGTATAAAAGTCCTTGGGAACACCCGACAAGCATTTCCTGACACGCCATATGTAATAACACACGGAATCAATGTGACGTGACCAACACTACGCAATTGGCAAAGGTCAAACACCGACAGAAGTAATTGTCAATCGAAGCATACCACATACATGACATGTTTTTCCAAATCAGGAAATCCTACAATTTTTGTTGCCAGGTATTAACAGTCTATTGAAACCGCGGTAAACTAAAACAAGCTTGGAGCCTGGCAATGCGCATTCCCATTTGATTCGGATGGAACATTTAAACCGTCAAACAGCATCTCAAACATTGATTTACTGAAGAAAAATCACATTTCCAGTAAACCGATTAAACCAACGAATGCTCAAAACTTGTGTTCTTCTTTCTTTACGTTCAATCTGCTACTCCTTAATACAGACAGAGCATATATACATGTATTATCCGGCATGCATGTCAGATTGTTCATGTTACAGCATGAGCCACAATTTCCAGGCTTGCAACAAGGTTTGACAAGCCAACGAGAAGCATGTCTTGAAGATACAGCCAAGTCTCTAACATGCAGCTCAAGCAACGGTGACAGCTTCACCCTGTGCACCTGTAACATTAGATAATCAATTAGGCATTAGATCGGTAAATGAGGACCTTCAGAGTATATATATATATATAACATAGGAATCAATCACACTGAATTACATCTCTCAAAAATCTCCTTTGCCAGTAGCAACAGTGACTCTGTCTCTTCAGCCATCTTTGTGATCTTCTCTGCCTCCTTGACCGCTTCAGAAGCTAAGAATGATTTGGCCTCTGAATCTGCTATTTTGTAAGCAGCAGTTATTGCTGCTTCCTCTATTGAATCTATGGAGTAAGCCGACCCAGAATGTCCCCTAGCATGATTTGCAGGATCTTTTTGTTTTGGGGTAGGAGTTTTTATTGAAAAAGAGGATTCTTTGAGCCTGTACCCCTTCTGGACCTACATTTCATGTTCAAACAACATGACATACCAGCTTGATAGCAGCTAAAGTGCAAAAATTATATGTATATGCAGCAACAAAATTTCTTCACCTTAAACCAACTTAAGTTCTGACCTCAATAAAAACAAAAGATATGTTGCAATAAAATAAATTGATGCACTCCTGCAGACCACCAAATAACCAATCCACTCACCAAGGAGGAAAAAAAGAGAAAATATTATTTGCTGGATCCCGATTCTAATAAAAACTGCACCCATATCTAATGTATGTGGGCTGAGCATGCAATCTCACCACGGACTGGCACCAAATATAGCATGTGCATAGTCATTTGTCCACCACATATGAATGTGCAACTGCATGTGGAGCTGTCCTCTTTTCAACACCTCGAATCAGCCATGAAAAATTAGTCTTGAACACAAACTGGACTCTACTCAATATGCACAACAAAGCATAGGATCTGAAATAATAATAAGAAATAAGGCCAATATATATCCTTTCTCACTTCAACTGCCTAAAAACAACCACTTGCACCTTCCTCGATCATAATTAAACAACGTCGGGCACAGGATCCATATTATTCTTTCATAGAACAATTTTATAATTTTATTTGATGTTTGATAACAAGGTCCAAGGTTTGAATCTCGTCCTCATCACTTATCATTTGCAAAAAAATTTATTTGACATTTCACAGCATAAAAAATCATCATTTTGGGCCTCACAAGAACTATTATACAACCACTTCATGCAAACACAAATTGTGATCAATGTAATAATCTGCATATAAAATGTATGCCATCATATGTGATATCAAACAATCAAAAAGTGAGATTGGCATTTGGAACAACTGTTTACCCTTTCTATTTTATTCTGTGCAACAAGCCGCCTTAATTTTGAGCTGAGCAACCTCCTAAAATTTTGTGGCACCTCATGCCTTTGCTGCATAAAATATCAAAGAAGTCAACAGACTTTAAGGAACATAGCACCAGGAAGGAATCAATCCTGGCAAGATATGATTGCAAATAAAATAAAATATCCAAAATTTCCAATATTAAGGAATTGCACAAGTGCAAATCAATTTCCAACATAAAGGAATTGCACAAGGGAAATTTATATTGCTCCACCCAACATTAATCAGAAGTAGGTGCAACTCAATCATGTGAGTGCAAGGGATGAGAACATAGACAATGTAGACAATGTCCCAGGATTATTCAATCAAAAATCCAAGTCAAAGACATATTTACAAGTGCCGAGATTTGAACTATTTCAGCAGCCAAAAAAGAACCAGTCACCATATGAAACCTACCACAAATGTAGATGACATAATACTAGAGAAAGGCAAACTAGACATAGGAAATGCTAGTGGTTCCACACAAGCCCAAAAGAAAGTAAGTATACAACAGATATACCTTCCCTTCTTTAAGGTTCTTCTCAGATATTCATTGGTTTATTAATTCTACAGCTTATTTGTAAGTTAATGGTTCTAATAATATCTTAATATATATGACCAAGAAAATCAGAATAAAATGCAAATCTATTCCGGTAAGTTTGTCTTCCACATTGCAAAAGCTAACATTATAAGTAATTTTGGTAACATTAAAAAATATTAAGCTGTTTTATTGCAGGTTCTGTTTGTAATTAAATACTTAACAAAAATGATTATTGTGCAAATACAACATCATCTATAACAAGAATTTGAAAACTATCCATTACAGGATTTACTACCCTACATCTACATAGCTCAGCTATTAATTTCGAGTCCAAATCATTATATTGGTCCACACACAAATCAAGATACTTTAAATCAGAGTTAACATACGAGAACCTTTTCTCCCCTTAGTAATCAACTTCAGAAATTTTCCTTCAACAAATTTAAAGAAAGAAAGAAAAGGTAGATGATACAGAATTGAGCAAGCATGCTACCAATAAAATTCAGATCTCAATTCTACCATTAAAATGTAATGTGGGGGCACCGTTGGAGATCAACACTGTTAAACACAATCTCAATTTAGACACAAAATGAAAATCCAAACAATTTAAGGACCTTTTCTATGTGCAAAAGGCATGCGTGCACTAAATTTGATTTAAGACCACTTCAATTAAAGATGTGGCAAAGCTGATGCCAAAGCATGGTCCAAGGAGGGTCAAAAAACTTTTAGATCTATCAATTAGAAAAATAGAAATATTTAATGATTCTAGATTCTTTATCAAATGAAAATAAGCTCAATTTCTGTACCAACATTTCATCTAATTGATAGTAGATCATAAGGTTTCTAGTTGTATGTTTTTCTTATTTCCTCACCTTGTAAATATTGCAAATCATGTTTAACATAGTTACAGCTTCATTTTGGAGTCTTCATATTTAATTTGAAATCGGTGGGACAAACCTAATGTCATAGATAAGATTAAAGCTCAACAGAAGCATATAAGCAAACTATGTGAAATTGACAAGTAGAGCAGCAAAAACTAGTCTAGTTGTGAAGCAAAAAAGATAAACAAGCAGAATATAAATGTATCCCAAGATTCAGTTTATATACGCACCAACAAATAATAGAATCTAGGGATTGTTTTCATCAAATGTCAAATAAATGGGAAACAAAGACAAATTGTTTGGTTTGTCACACTCAGAACTTTCAAGCAGACTATGAACAATGCATTTTCCTTATTCTTGGAATTAAAGTGATCCAATAGGACTACCTATCGAAAGAAGTAACACATGACACAAAAACTCATGAAAGAAATAACAATGCAACCATGGAGAGGAGGATGTGGGACCAGAATTGATGTAGGCGGTAGAAGTTTGGACGCTTAGAGGTCTAGCATTGACATGCATCGTAGAACATTTGATCCCAACAAAATCAAACATAGTAGTCGGCTATTTTCAAGAATGCATGAGTTAGCACCTCCATTGTGACCGAAAAGGCAAAAATTTACTGTAGGAAAAAAGGAGGGGGAAAAAAATTAAAGGCACATGATTGCATGATTAGTAATGCTAGCCCTGACCATGGTTTGGTTTGAACTGGAATCGAACCAGGTTGGAACCAAAACCAAACTGATCAGTGGTTTGCCAGTTCCAAATTGAAGCAAAACTGGACCTGGACAATTCAAGTACAGTTCTTGGGTTTGGGAAACCAGAACTGGTGGTTCCAATTCCGATTCAAACTGCCGGTTCCACGATTTAAAAAAAATTAAAATATGAATTTTTTATTTTTAAATTATTTTTAATTAAAAATAATAAAAAAAATTGAAGTTCGAACCAGAACCGAAACTGGCGGTTCCGGTTCCAGTTTGGAAACCAATGTAATGCACATAAGTGAAGCCTCCAATCTCTGGTGTTATTTAGACCACAGAAAATCATGACAACTCAGACATACTATGAGGGATCATCATATAAAATCTGAGATTCCAACTATGACAAACTTGAACTGCTTGGATAAAAAATTCTTCCACACAAGTGAATTTTTCTTTCATTTCTTCCAAACAAAATGAGAAAATATCATGGATGCTTCTTTCACCAATTAACATGAAAAAAAAAATAAAAAACCCACAAACCTCTATGAAACTACAAATTGCACCAATTTCGGATCCATTAGGTTCTTTCATTGCTGCAAGTGCTTCGATTATCATGACAGTGTACCTGATAAACAAAAATTGGATCATAATGTAAGAATAAGTACTCGTATGCCCTGAATGAAGTGCTGAATATCAATCAATAATAAGCACAATCTAGAAGAATAAAATTTAATGTCTATGTAAAATCTTGAATACAAAATAAGCCATTGAGATTCTGGTCAGAAAGAGAGATTATAATCAAAGCAATCAGAATATAAAGAAGCTAGCACATAGAGTTAATGCATTGTCAGATATTATAGCCACAGATCAATTCATGGCTACAGAACACATTACATCTAAAGAAAGGAAAAGGAAAAGAACAAACAATGAGAAATGTTCATTGGTTCTATAGATGGGAATTTAATACAGTAGCATTCAGGCAAATTTAAAGTGTCTATATCTCAAAATCGATAACTAAATACTATTTGCAGCACCATGACAACATTATTGGTTACATTGCATCAGAGGTCTTATCACAACTGCAAATATACATAACAACTTGATACAAGCAGTCGAGCACACCAAACAAAGCATCTGCCCAATTGATATGTTTTCATATATTATCTCGTCTTCTAACTTGCAGCAATGTGGAAATCCATACTCATAAGAAAGTAATGCATTATTATTCAGAAATAACTTGGATAGCATCCTTATTTAAATCCGGGAGGAAAACACTAGATCACAATGAAAAAGTTGTTAAATAGAAGATACCCACCTAGGAGGGAGTTTTGCCTCTTGTGAGCTTTTTGTAGGATCTGCAGTTGCAGATACTCCATCTTTATGTGGTGCAGAGACAATAAGGCTCTGAGAACCAGATGGTGGGATGACTGGAAGAACCTTTGCCTTCGGTGTCCTTATCTTTTCCCTAGAACCTTGGCCACTGGCGCTAATGCTCATATTCCTCCATTTGTCCTAAATGTGGTGAGTGTGTTGATAGGAGTGATGATAAAAATATTTAACATTAGCAGGAAAAAAAGAATTTGTTTCGTAGAGAGTAAATAGAAAAGTTCTGCTACAAAGTCATGAACTAGAAATATACTCAAATCATGATTACCTAAACAAAACTAAGTAGGTATAAATTAAACCTTTATGAAAAAGAGGATCACTTATCAGTGTAACGTGACAAATGCATGCACTCTGACAAGGCAAACAGAACAAGTTGATAAAGGTGAACAAAAACCCCACCTAAATGTCTCCAGATATTTGCTAGATCCATTTGTCAAGATTCCGTTGGCATTACTATATATAATAAACAGAAACACATTTACAACCAATACGCAGGGACCTAAAGCATTAATAATCCTCTCAATTATCATGTCCATAGACCCTACACAGGACATTTTTAGGACGTTAACATGGCAGTTTAAAGCAACAGAGAATGGATGCCCCAGGTGCCACTGAAGCAAAATGCAACGAGCAAGTTGTTTACAGAACTATGGTAACAACCAGGAGTATTCTAATACAGAGGAATAGCTCAATGGTAGATATGGGAAGGGAAGTCAACCTATGGACTTTACAGGGACTATTGTGTAGTCAGCATTGTCTAGGTTAAACAGAAAAGAGTGAGATTGTAATGATGACAGTCAATCATGTAAAGTGACAAAAGGGGGTAGAAACAGGCATGACAAGGAATGGATTGCAACTAGCAGCAGTTGTTTCCACGTTATCAGAACCTAGATTTAGAGTTCAATTGATGCAGTACATGGTTAAATTAGTTTAGGTTTGGGTTCTCCCCCAGGGAATATCATCTATTATTTTTGCTATTTTCAGGCAGATTCATAGTCATTGATGTAGCTGTCATGCCAAGGAAAATACTAACCAACTAAACCCTCTCATCCCAACTCCTGACCTACACCTGAAATTTCGCGCCCCCGCTATCAACTTGCACCACCAAGACCGAAGAATGTGACGAGAGGAATCTTAAACAACACTATTGGTACCTCGAAGAATCTTCACCAAGACAAAAGACAGGCAATAAAGGAAAAAAGATAACCGAAGTGCAAAACCCTAAACGAAGGAAAAGGTGCCGAAAGAGAAAGGACGTGGTGGAGGACCTTGAGGTCGATGTTGGAGCGGGTGGCGAGGCAGCGGCTAAACTCGGGGTCCTTCTGGATGGTCCGCCATTTTCCGGCGCCGTGCTTGTCTACGCCAGCACGCAGCGCTTCCTCCTCTTCCGCCGTCCACTTCTGCTTCGGAGCTCCCATCGCAAGCCCTCCTCCTTATTCACCTCAGATCGCTCTTATTCGACTTCTCGCTTGTTCCTCTTCTTCTGTCCACATCGAACCCCCGAGTCTTCTCCTCCTCCTCCCTTCGCTCCCCTTTTAGGGTTAGGGCTTTCTTTTCTTTTAGGCCGAGACGATGACACTGGATAGAAAACGGGGGGGAAAACTCAATTTTATTAATATAATTGTTTTATTAATTTCTTAAAACTCGTAGAAGACCACGTGTGATTGGACCCACCAGTCGTGTCCACTTGCCTCCCCGTGGGCCCAGCACCGTCTCCTGGCTGATGGGACCCATATCCCCTCCAATCACAGAGGCCACATTTCTTCGGTGTTGAAAAGGCTGTGATTGGGAATTCTAAAAGACACGGCAGTGAGACGCAAGTTAAGTGGGTGTCTCATCATGTATATGGACGACCAGGATTCGAGGAAAAGATCAATAGACGGCCGAAGATTCGAGCTTTGGTGGTTCCCGGATACCCGAAGGAACGAGTGTTGAGGGATGGACATGGGAGGGTTCAGATACGGCGATTGGACCGGGGCCGTCGAAGGTGTTCTGGAGACTGGAGAGGAGCCCCAGCTGCCAGGAGGAGCCAAGGTTCATCTCGTGATCCCCCTCCCTCCTGCTTGCGACCGATCCTCCTGAAACACCAGCAACATTCGCATTTGGAGTTTGATTCTTTACTGACGTTTTCTTTTCTTTTTCTTTTTTTGGCTGCGAATATTTGGTCTGTCTTTTTCCTTGGAAAAAATCGTTAGTTTTCTTTTTATTTGACCTGCATTCATCTTACATAAAAATCTCATCCTGCATGGGAAAGATGAAATGACTTTCTACAATCTTGGAGCTCCCCCGTGATGCATCGTCATTTGTTTTGGTTTTGTTTAACCAACAACACCACATGGAACTTGTATTTTGCATAAATCTTAACATAGTTGCAATTGTCTCTTATCTATGATTATTGTTGGCTTTACACTATTTCACCTCACTCTTAAATTATACTTTACTTGCAACTGTTCTTTAGTATTCTCTTATAATTTGTCATTGTTCTCTTCTAAACAATTATTGTAAAAAATTGGTCTTTTATGCAAATCAAAATCTGAAGGGTTATGATTAGTAGTCGTCATTGCTTCTGCTCATCTTGCTTGTTCTATTATGTTCGGCTCAGAAACCTTGATGGTTAACTTAACTTTGCTATTGAGGATGGGAAAACACTGTATAAGTCTATATGGATCAAGTCAAATCAAAAATAGTAAAAAGGAATGACAAATATCTGTGTGATTCTTTTTCTTTTTTTTGCCAAAAGTCTACATAATTTAATTTCCAATGCTCTTCATAGTTTTCTGATTACTAATATTGTATTCGCACTCCAAACTTGTCACATGTAGGCTTTGCATTTTTCATTTATAGAATTAGGTTAGCCAATGCAGTAGATATCCAGACATCAGCAGTATTTATTCTATTTTTCCTTTATAAACACAAGATGTATATGAAGAATACACTCTCTCAACTGGTAAATCAACAAGCTGACTTAGCAGTTCTCTCTTGGCCTTGACAAAAGGAGAGTTATATAATTAATTTGTTCTCTCACTTACAGTTGCTTTTCATTCATGTAGCTATGTTTTGCAACTGTTGCAACAGCTACCTGTTAAAATGTGCATGTGTTTGTGTGATAAGATTTTTGCAGTCATAAAGCATAAACCAGAGCTTGACAGTATGAATATGAATTATAATACTTTTGAAGTTCTAGGCACAAGACTAATTTTCAATCTTTATTTCACTAGTTGCCTATAAATTCAATTAGTGTTCCATGGACATTTATCACTTGTAATTTCTTTGTACAGATAATTTTTTATCAACTAGTTGCATATGAAATGCACTGATCCTTTACAGAGACATGTAACTTACTGATTTTCTCATAATTATTTCTTCATCATGGGTAGTTACTGAATAACATATAGTTTTATAAACTTTGGCGACCTACTATTCCTTTACATAGGCATCTAGAATTATGTGTACTTTGTAATATCAACCAATAGATGATTGTAGAATTACTAAATGTATGAACTTAATTTTGAATAAGTTTCGATATCAAAGCATCATAAATCTAGATGCAATGCTATATGTGGCTTACACTTAAAATGATATTTTTATCTACAAGGGACATCATCTATGCTTATTAGAAATAACTATTCTAATAACAGGAGATTTCTTGAAAAACTATTATGCATAATTCATTAGTAGATCCATAGGAAAGGTTTTTAATTTCGAATAATACTGCCTGTACTGGACTGTCATGGACAAAACTGTAAACATGATGTTTAATGTAATGCTCATGTATGTCCGTATCCTTCAGTTTATTTATGTTTTGCACAACATGTAGAGGGACGGTCGAAGGCTTAACAACCCTAATTTAGTTGGGTTTGGTGGTCATTTTAGGCTTGTAAATAAAGGTTGTGTCATGTGGATATTTGTGGGAGATCTTAGTCTGTAGTGGACTATTTTGGATCCTTTGTTGTGCGATCGTTCAAAGCTTGTGGAGTCTGTTTGTAATTTGCATTGGTTATGAAGTGTTTCCTGAAATGATTACTTGTGGATCCCAAGCGAGGCGCTTTCTCTAACCCGTTTTCTCTTTTATAGGTCCTAAGGTACCCTAGGAGGTTTCGAGGAGGTTGACCTTTGCGGACGGACACACAAGGGTGCCTCACGACTTAGGCAAACCAGCTAAGTCCATGACATATGGTATCAGAGCGGGACAAGCACTCATAGAGACACTTAACATGCAAACGTGGGGGACCTAGCGGGGTTGCGTTGAGTGTAGCCAGCACGCGCGACCGTTTGAGAGACCCTTCGAAGATAATGGAAGACAATAGTTGTCAAATCCTCACCAACGGTGATCAGTGCTATTGAGAGTAGATTATCTGCTTCATTTCCCAACAGAATGCCAATCGAAAGGAGAAGTGATGCGAACCTACTTAGAAGTGACAACTAAGTGAAAGAAGAGTCGATGGGCAAATTTTGTGGAGGAAAGATCCAAAAACTTTAAAAATTTACGAGACGATGCTCGTTAAAGCTCCAACAAGCATCCACCTAGTTCAAGTAGCATAAGGTATTTGAGAGACTGGCACATAGTAAAGATGGTTTGTTCCTTCATCTGAAGGATCCGCAGGAACCAACAAAGATCAACACAACTCAACCAACCCCACACTAGAGTCAGAGTCATTGGCGAGTTGAAACAGCATGACGGATCAAAAGTTTGACTACTCAATAGTAACAATGGAGAGTAGTTAGGAGCCAACAAATGCATTGCAACTGGAGCAGAAGATTGAAGACTCAGCAAAGGCGAGGAGTTGTAGTGTCGGCAAAGACTTCGACGAGGACATCGAAGGAATAAGTAGGGGAGAATGTCACAGATAAAACTATCAACATGGTGTTTAATGTAATGCTCATGTATGTCCGTATCCTTCGGTTTGTTTATGCTTTGCACAGCATGTAAAGGGACGGTCAAAGGCTTAACAATCCCAATTTAGTTGGGTTTGGTGGTCATTTTAGGCTTGTAAATAAATGTTGTGTCATGTGGACACTTATGGAAGATCTCGGTCTGTAGTGGACCATTTTGGATCCTTTGTTGTGCGACCGTTCAGAGCTTATAGAGTCTGTTTGTAATTTGCATTGGTTATGAAGTGTTTCCTGAAATGATTGCTTGTGGATCCCGAGTGAGGCGCTTTCTCTAACCTGTTTTCTCTTTTGTAGGTCCTAAGGGACCCTGGGAGGTTTCGAGGAGGCCGACCTTTGCGGACGGACACGCAAGGGTGCCACACGACTTAGGCAAAACCAGCTAAGTCCATGACAGGACGGTACCATCGATTGGGGTTGTTTCTGCCCCGTTACCACGTGGAATCAGTCGATGATGGTCGATTTCGATCGTCGCCGCCTACTACGGGGCGGTATTAGCTGAGGGAGAAGCAGTGATTTAAAAAGCGCTAGGCGCCAAAAGGCGCCAAGGTCCAAAAACGCCCGAGGCGCTAGGTGCTTGCCCAGGCGCTCGCCCGAGCGAAGCGAGGCGCTAAAATATAAAAATATATAATATAATTAATAAATATAATTATTTAAAATTTTAAATAAAAATATACTATTAAATTAAGAAAATCTAATATACAAAATCACAATGTCACATTAACAACATTAAAATCAAAATAATATAATATTAATCTATTAATAGTATTGAAAATTAATCATTTTAAAATTTAAATAAACTTAATATTAACAGTATAAGCCTGCTGACGGAGAAACGAGGAAGCAGCGGCGAGCGGCGACGGCGGCAACGGCAGCGGGAAAGGGAGCGGGAGCGGCGAGCAGCGGGAGGCGCGACCAACGGGAGGCGCAAGCAGCGGGAGGCGCGAGCAGCGACAGCGGCGAGCAA